ACACTGAGCAATTTCCTGGATCCCAGCAGCCCCGTATCCTGCATGCGTTTTTTGCCAACAAGAATATTTTCCTCAGCCCCTGCCTTCCCTCAGACCCACACAAGGTCAAGGGCTGTATTTTGGACTTTCCTATCATCTCCTCTCTGGTTTCAATGACCAGCTGCAGTACCTGAATGGGCACCTGTGATACCTGTAAATTGCACAGCTGATAAAACCCTGTCTTGCTACTTGGCTGTTCCCATTGCCCACCCTCTGAGGTGTGCTGCTGACAAATGGAGAGAAATAGGTTTTTCAACCAARAACTCCAATTTTTACCACCAAAGCCAAGGAAAAGGGGATTTCCAGGACAACCAGCCACAAAGCCAAACTAATAAACAGCTACAAGGGAAGAGCAGGATTCTCTGGACATCAACTTAATATCCAAACCAGGGCACAAATAAAGCCCTGTTATAGCTTCAACTCTAACATAAAACCAACATCACCCAACTTTGCGTGTGCAGCTRCAGGTCTTCCTGTTGCCTGAGCTGAGTTTGGGCCTTTCAGTAGGTTTTTATGAGACTCTGTCCTGACCAGCCATGTATTTTAACAACCCTCACTATGGCTATTTCCCCGCCCCAACAGAACTTCAGTTAACTGAGATGCTGCACTYGTTTGATGTTGCAGCCAATACCCCATTGCTTTTTATCCTTCATAAGTCCCTTTTTTAAATAGCTTTAAATGGTACTAACTGGATGGAAATATTCTTTTATATAGCACAGGACCTCATACCTATATAAAGCAACCAGCTTCCCTCTCTTCCAGCAGCAGCTTTCTGTTCAAGTGCTGAAATGCAATATTAAGCTCTGCCATAAATCCCACAGCTTTGTGGAGTSTTTCTGGCCTTCTGCACAATCTGCCTAACTGTCTAGCAATTGGTCCATTGGCTATTTATCTTGGAAGTCCTCACTGGAGATGTGAGGAACACAAAATATCTGCAGGTCGTCTGCCAGCTGAGGTAGGTTCTTCTTCCTCTTGCCTTCTAGCATTTGGCTGTGTCCTGTCTAGCTCAGAGTGGTATCTGGCTCCAATCTGCTTATGAAGCTTCAGACCAAATCTTGATAAGCCAGGTTATGTCTGTAGCCATGCTTCTCAGCTCTCAGCTTGCTCTCAGGGTTCTTGCCACAGCTGTGCTCCTGACTCTACTCCAGGAAGAGGTCTGGGCATGCACCATCCCAGGGATGGCTGGAAAAGAACTGCATGGTGCTCCAAAAGGTCTCACAGCCCCTCAAACTGGAGACCAGCACCGTGGTCTAGGCTCTAGTGCTGACCCTTGTCCCACCATTTGTCCTCAGACCAAGCCCTGGGACCAAGCCCTGCAGAACAAGGCTCTGCCCAGTTCCTCTTTCCAGCCGGCTCTGCAGTAGGAATGGACATGTATCAGCCTCCCAAGCAGTATTTCTTGAGTGGCATCCCTGGGGCTGGAAAAGCCAGATGCTGTAGGCTTGTGCACACTGGAAAGGGCCAGTGATCTCATGGGTGATCCATCTCCCACTGGGACACCYGACAGCCTGACACCAGCTCCATGCCCAGCAGGCTGGCAGCCCATTGAGACTTTGGTGTAACTTTTTTAATGCTTTTCTTTTCTTTCAGAAACCTTGCTATGGCACAGGTCTTATATTAAGTTTTGGGCTGAGCAATATTTTTGTTTCTTTTGTTTTGTAAAACAACTTCTAGCCTGTGTCACACACATTCCTGAACTCCTCGCAGAGTCATGGTCTTGCAGATGGGCCTTCAGATCTCTCTGGGCACTGTGTCAGAACAGAGTCATTCTCTGACTGGTTTTGACCCTTTCTGGGACAATTCTCGATACTGCACTCTTTCCATGTGCATACTGTACAACTTTGGTTTGTTTTGATTTGATTCTGGTGTGAATTTCTTTCACTTCCCGCTGCTCTTAAATAGATTAGTTATCTGCAAGCACTTTTGTTATCTGATCTCTCTTGCATCAAAATAATGAATAAAGTTCCCCATTTCCCTTTTAGAGAACTCCATCCGACCCAAAACCGATGTCACAGCTCCCCAGAGAAGCAGTCAGTCATATCCAAAGTCTCAAAGGGACTGCTTCTGCTACAGGAAGGAACCAATGAGACACAAAATATTTCTTTTAGACAGCAGTGGTTGTGCACAGAGCCCAGATAGAGAACAACAGCAATCTGATATTGAGACCTTACAAGTTTATTTTATTTCCCCCAGACACCAGTCTGCCCAAAACATTTGTTCTGTTCCTCAGTTTCCTCATTCCCTATTGATAGCGCTTCTCTGATGAGCCCTGATGCTGTTTACTCCCTGCCCTTTGGTTTTGTAGGGCTTTCAGGCTACTGCTGAATAAAGGCAGCTGTTACCTTCAAAAACCCCACAGAGTTGGCACTGAGGCTCAGCGTGCAGCACGGTGAGTAAACCAGCTTACCTTTCAGGCTCCACCACCAGCTTACCCACTGCCTTACAGCTAATGAACACTGTTCTTGCTAATAAAGAATATATTTAGAAATAATACTGATTCACCCATCTGTTTCCAGTAAGCAGATTAAATGTGAAAATATAAWCTGCATTTTCATTTAAAAAAAATTATCAGATACAAATAGACTTAAATAGACATTTAGTGTTGAGTTGGGTAATGCAATGGTCTTCAATCAGTGCAGGTGAGAGACCATGGCTCATGGCACACCAGTTTGTCATGACTAAATCCTGCTGGGACCTGAAGACAGCAACTACTAAACATTGAATCACAGCTATTCTCRAGTGAGATATAAAGAATTTGATGCTGGTGGGTTCATCCTTAGATAGTTCATAAAATCAGTTGCAGACCATTCCATAATAGTGCTGAGCCTGTCACTGCTTTTTGCCCGTCCAACACATCTCCTCTTCTTCTTTCCCTGCCTCTTCTCATTAATCTCTGTTCCTTCCTCACTCCATCCTTTTCCCCTATTTTTCACTGATCTCTCTTTTTGACCAAAAAATTACCTTAAAAGCATTAAGGTGATCACAACTGGTCTTTCTCATTGTGTCTACTTATGTGACAGTCAAAATATGAAGATGATTTGCAAGCATGAATGAAAAATGTGGCCAAACAGATTCACCGGTATGTATAATAACATTATACACCTGAACTTACACAGAAAATAAAGAGAAGGCCATTTATTTAATACATGTAAGTAGCTTYCCTCCTTTACTTATGAACTTTCCTTTACCAGTTGAGGCTGCTGAGACACACATAACTATAATAAATTGCTACATGTTAATAGCATGAAATATTCTCAACTGTCTCTTAGAAAATGTTTGTCAAGTCACAGGAGTCCTATATTGGCTGCATTACTATTCAGGCTTCTCCTAATCGAGGAGTATCTCTCTTTTCCTTTTAAAAATCTATCTACATAAAGATATTAGACCTGTGCTTTCCAACCTGATTAACAACTGAGATGGGAGGGGGATTTTTTCTGATGTGTAGGAGGAATACCTCGGAAACATATGACTTTTGGGGCAGGGATTGCTCAGCATTTTCTGAAAAGCACAGCTCATAACTCGTGGTGGCCGATATAGGTTGCCTACGCTGATGAATTGTTCTTAAAAGATTAGACCATTAACGTGGATTGGCAGGTCGAGCCTATTTTACACACTGAGGAACCTGAGCATGTGGGGACACACCGATTGCTTACAGCTTCCTGCGCAGCATAAAGACATGACTGACAGGAAACCTGAGTTAAAGCCCCTACGAAATCACACACGGCACCTCTACGCTGTGTGTTTCTGACTCCAGCAGTGGCTCCTTCTCTAGCCAGCTGAGTGCCTCCTTCGGCTGGAGCCACGGCCCTGCAAAGGTCACACTGATGCCACTGAGTGGCCACAGCTTCACCTTGCACAAGACACTCGGCTGTTACAAGTGTCAATTTGTTTTTCCAGCTGTAAAATGAGAAGAAAAGCCTAATACTGCCCCAAGACACATCACACTTTTTACCTGAGAACTGCTACAGCTACAAAAATGCCCTGAACAAATAACAAAGCATCTTAAAGACTCCAGGGAACAAAACTGGCTAAAGGGCCAGGAACTAGGGTGACCGAATGGACCGGTCTGGAGATGTCCTTTACAGCAGAACGTCTTTGGCTCTGAGCCTCTCAGACACCACCTCACTCTTACAAGGGAAACTCATCATGTCTTTGAACGCAGGACTTGGAAAATGAATAAATCTTCAAGATCTGAGGGACTGAATTCTGCACATGAGCTCCCCTTAAACCGTGGGTGCATTTCACTTGGGAGGTTAGAAACCACAGCCAAAGAAATCTCTTTTGATTCACAACTTGTTTTGAGCAGTCACCCATAAAGCAGCCGGTGAATCACTCCAGCCAGTTAGTCATGCAACCACACTGAATGTACACTCAAAAGGCTGCACAAAATAAACAGCCTGCAGCTCCAGATAACACACACACAGCTCATTTGCGCTATCTGGCATCAGCATATATTGTTAATAGGACTCCTACACCAAACCCTTAGGAAAAATCGCTCTCAAATAAGCATCTCCAAATCTCTCTCTCCATCAGTATTTTTCTCGTYTGCTTCACTCTGTGTTGCTTTCAAAACAATTAAGACTAGTAAAAGTTTTAAGACTCTTTCACTCTCTTTCCGCACCTTCTTGTCGCTGGTAACGTCCTGCTGGGTTTACAGGCGTGAGCTGCTGAAGTGTAGGGCTAAAGCAGAGTTAATTCCAATCGGCAGCGGACAAGTCGAAAATAAACAGCTCTAGTGCGAAAAGAAATCTTCCTGCAAGGAGGGAGCGGCAGGGATACAGGGGGAGGGAGTCTCCCGCTCCTTTGACATATGAGTGTTATAAACAGCTCGGGTCAGGAATCCTATAAAAGCCTCCAGCCAGATCTACCGTCCAATTCAAGAGAAGTGCAAAACACCTTCTGGAAAGAGCCGCGAATAAACCTTCCTGCGCGGCCCTAGGGGTAAGGAACGTGAGCCCTACCTTCGCGTCTGGCTCCCTGAGGAAATCCCGCAGGTTTCCGCGGAGGAGATCCCGCACCTCCAAGTGTCTGTTCAAACAGAGGCTTAGCCAAACTCCTGGCGAGAGCTCCCTCCCCTCCCTGGGAGGGTGCCGGAACCCTTGAATGGCAGATCTGGTGGCCCTATTGTGGAAAAGAGAGGGCTATTGCCAGGGCGGCGTCAGCAGCACGCCGGGAGCCGGCGGCCGAGCCTSGCCGGGCAGCCGGTCCCACATCAGCGGGAGGGAAGGGCCGGCTCTGCCGCCCCGCTCCCCGAAGCTCACCTCGCCTCCCCGCCCTCCTGGCTCCGCTTGCCGCCTCCTGCTCCCTGATGCCAGCTTGGATCGCGCCCCCCCTTGTCCCCTTTCCCCGCTTCCCCACTCGCGAGTGCCTCCCGCTCGCTTGTCCCCTTTATAGCCCTTTGTTGCCCCCCGCGGGGATCGGGGCAGCAGCATTCCCCACCCCGGCGGAGAGAGGTGCGGGGGCAGCCCGAGCACCCCGCCTGYCTCCCCGCCTGCGCTCTGAGCCCCGGCGAAGGATCCGGGCAGGAGTCAGGAGCCGAGATCAAAGCCGCGGGGAGAGGGAAGGGAGGCAGGACCGAATGGCCGCCGCAGCTCGGGACACCCCTCCCAAAGCCCTCAGCACCCCGGGCCCGCGGCGGGCGAGGGACAGGCACCGCCATCCCCCTCCTGACAGAGCGGTTCCTGCGGAGATCCTCYGCGGGACGGCCCGGACCCCCGTGCSGGAACACGGCATCGCCCGGGCTGGGGGAGCCCTGCAGGAGTGCCGAGGGGAGCGCACGGCTCCCGCTGCCCCGTTCCGCTGCGGGCGAGGGGCTGCGGTGGAAGCCAGGGGAAGGAAGGGGCAGAAGCCGCCGGCCCTCCCCGGCTCACGGCGAACTCCGCGGAGCCCTTGAACATCGGCGGGGACTGTGCGCGGCGCCGCGGGGAGCACCGAGCGCCTGGCAGAGAGCGGTCTCTCGCGGGAGGCGGAGAGGGACCGCCAGCGAGCTCGTTCCTGCCGTGCCTGCAGCTTACATTACATCAGGGAAGSAGGAGGAGGAGAAGTCCATTAAAAGTGTCAATTTAAAAAGCGCGCAGCGAGCCTCCGATTCCTACAGCAGTGGCTTTCTGTACTTTAATAATAACGCACTTACGGCTGCGATTTTCATTTGCTCGCTAAATAAAAGAAATGGTCGTTATTTGCATAACGCGGTACTTAAAGAATTTCCTCTGTCAGAGAAAGCCGTTTCCTTTCTCCTGTTATCTTTGAGCAAATATCCCCATCACATTCGCCTTCTCTCCCCAAAGGACTTTATTTCAGCCGGTATTTCTAGACAGCAATATACGTATAGACTTCTGTGTGTATAGAGGTATGTGAATGCATATGTTTTAAGAAATACAACTTACTTMAGCTCCACGCAGTAGAAATAGCAAGTCAGATTACTACAGCACATAAATCATTCGAAAGCTTTTTCCCCTCCTAAGCCAAGATACATAACCTGTTCTGAGGACTAGATGATCTTGAAGGTCTCTTCTGACCTTGATGATTCTATGATTCCATGACTTTTACCTAAAAACTCGGCTTCAACCGCCCGTGCGAATATCCCGTACCCCTATTCCTGGTGGGGAAGGCGGAGGAGCAGTGCGAGGCTGCCGKCCCGCCGCAAGCACGGACAGCAGGCTCCGGGCTGGAGGAGCCCTGCCGGGCACCGCCTGGGGCCAGGCCGGCAGCCACCACTGCGAGGGGACCGCGGGGAGCCCGGCCGAGCGCCAGGGCCGGCCGGTGCCAATGTCCCTGCCAGAAGGCGGGCTGGAAGCGTTCCGACGATTGCCGTCCGTGTCCTAAGCGTATTTACGGCCGCAGCTCTCCCTGGCCTATATTTATCCGTACAATGCAGTGGAAGGTCTTAGATCTAGAAATAGAAGCCGAGAGCAATAGATGGCAGGCTCGGGCTTTTTATAACTCAAAAAGATTTGTTTATTAAAGAAATAAAATAAAATGAAACAACTAAAAAAGGAGGGGACACCCTGTCCCTCCGGCACGCAGTGTGTGTCGTGCCCGCAGTGCCCCGCCGGCCAGGCCTCCGCTCCAACCCTCGGCCGCTCCGGGCCGGGCGACGGGCCCGCCACAGGGATGAGCGCAGGGAAAGCCGGCCGCCCGAGGAGAGCCTGCTTGCTGGTTGGCCTCGGCTTGCCTTTTGCTGGGTTGGGGTTTTTTCCCCCTCTTCTTTTGGGGTTTTGTTGTTTTTTAAATTGAGGGGTTTACAGTTACGGCGCCCCGCCACGCCAGCATCCTGCTCAGACCCTGACAAGGGAGGACGCGGGAAGCTCCCGCCGCGCCCCTTCACCTCTGCGGTACCAGCACCGCAGCTGCAGCGGGGTCTCGGCGGGAGGCAGTGGGACAGCCGCCTGTCCCCSGCTCCCCGAGCACACCCCTCCGGTATCTCCCCTCACCCGCTTTGAGCCCCGTGTGCGCGCTGGCTGCCCGTGTGCCCGCTGCAGAGCGAGGACGGCTTTCTCTTCCCCCGCGCTCAGCCACGCCGAGGGCATTTACCCCGACTCGGAGGTCTCCCCGTCCCTTCAGCCCGTCGCGGGGCTCCCGGGACACAACTCCTGGGAGCGGCGCGGTGGTCTCGCGGTTTAGGAAAAGGCGGAGAGGCGCCTACGGATGTTGCAGTCGCTCCGTGAAACCCGGATCTGTCTGTTATTAGCGAGTCTCTCTCTTCAACCATTAAGCACCATTATTATCACTRTTGCTATTAATTATCCTTGCCGAACCATGTGTCTCTCATTACAGCCCACCGTCCCCAGCCACATCACAAGGGGCTCACAAGGAGCGYGGTCTGGGCCGGGCCCGGCCACCCGCCGCCGCCGCGGGGCTCCCACTGAAGGAGAACCCCGAGCCCCTCTTGAAAATAAACCAGGGGAACCCCGGTGTTAGGAGGGCAATAAACTCGTGTGGTTCTACCGAGGGGYTGCAATGTGTCATCACAGGCTATGCCGGCGCCCTGGGCTTTGCGACCTAAGAAAACAAGAGAGCCGGTTAACAAGAGAGAGGATGTCGGGGCGGCCGGGAAGGCACGGGGGGCTCCCCTGCGATCCCATTCCGGGAGGAAACGGGGACCGGTTTCCTCCCGCACGGGCCGCAACCTCTCGGGGTTCCCCGGTGCCACCGCGTCCTTTCCTCTGGCTGGCCCCAGAAGGCCTCCTCGGATGCGGAGCGGGCCTGAAGCTGGTGCGGGTTGTTCGGCCWCGGGAAAAGGGCAGAGGAAGAGAGGGAGCATAGGAGGGGGTCAAAGCCCCAGTTCTGGCCAGAAAAAAAACGCGAAAGCAGCCCTCCCTCCAAGAGAGCCCTCATGCCGCTCCGTGGCCCGGTGAGGAGATACCGCGGGAGGGTGGTTGTGMCACAGGGTACGAGAAGGACCCGTGCGGGTCGGGGCAGGAGCCCGTCGAAGGGCGCAGCGKAGCTGGGTTATGCCTGCCGTTCCCGGGCACGTCTGGATGGAGAGGACTTAATGTCCTTTATCCGTGAAGGGGGTCACCTGTGTGTAGGGAAACTGGGGCTGTGGACCTGGATCCTGCAAAGAGGGGGCGAGGGACGGCACCTGGCACGCCGGGGTTTGGGAGTCGGGCGAAGGAAAGGCGCCCTTGTAATCCAGAAACAGGGGAAAAGGGTAAGTAAAGAGAGCAAAGTGTGCTCAAATGACGGCGAGAGCCTAGAAATGGGATTACTGGCCTGATCAGGACCTCTTCCACCTTCCCTGTGTCCCCACTCTGTAGTCGCTTCCCTTCTTATGATCTSCCTGGACACGCTGTCCTACAGCTATCCCGGCCTTTGGGACTGACGCATCGGGGATGGGACCCCGTCAGCGGCGACGCGCTGAATCTAGGCCGGGGCAGCCCCTCTGCCCACACAGAGATCACCGGGAGGGAAAGGAAGAGCTTACATTTCCACTTTCTCTTCTCGAGAAAGCTGATTAGGGGGGTTTATTTGTTTCGTTGTCGAATTTTTCTGTTTGTTTGTTTTTACKGGGGGTCGTTTGTTTATTTGTTTTGTTTTTCCCTTGCTGCCCCGATACAGCGGAAACCTCCCGAAGAAGCCTTTTAAAGCCACGCTCGGAAGCGCCATGAGAAGCGCCCCCGTTCCCGGCTGTGCTGTCGAGCGCCAGCGCGAGGGAGTGTCTTAATTGCCGCTAATGACCCGCGCAGGGGATGCGAGGGGGTTATCTGCAGCCGGGCAGAAATCAATTAGGGGAGTGGCAATTAGGGGAGAAAGTGAGAGGCAGGAGAGGCCGTTACCGCGAAAAGTGGTGATTTCGGTGAAATTTTCCAGTAATTCTCTCTGTGGAAAATGGTCCCCGCGGAGTGCACATTGCACAGCCTTGCTCTCCGCTGTTTCTGTCCCTTTTTCGGCGGAGTTCCCCTCACCGCTCAAGAGCTAACGCTTTGCGGGAGCGCATCGCATTCCGAAATTACGATTAAGATCCCCGCGAAGAGGGACACGGGGGAAGGGCGGCTTCCCGCGGGCATCGCGGGCTCCGGACGCGACCGGCAGTGAAGATACTCGCGGGGCACGGCGGCCCCCGCTGCGGCGAGAGGGGGCTGCGCGCCGGAGCCGGGCAAGGTCTCCTTGACCCCAGTAGGGCTTGTCCTGCCAGGCGGCCACCCCCCACGTCCCCGGGAGGCCCTTTCCAGGCCCAGGAGTCTCTCTCCGGTTTCACCTCCACTTTATTTCCCCGCCGCACGCCAGGGACTCACCGTAACAGGAGACCTGCAGGGCTCCGTTGTGGCCGCTGCTCTCTTGCAGCTTGATGTTGCTGTCCGGGGGGGTTTTGCAGGGGCCTCGCTGCATGTAGAGGTGCGGCGGCTGCTGCTGCGGAGGGTATTTGTTAAAGGAGGCCGTAGCCCCGGCAGAGCCGGGAGCCTGCACGCTGCCATCCAGGGACTGACATTCCTGCTGGCTGTAGCGGCTCCGGCACTTAGTGCTGCTGTCACCAAAGCCTTGTCCTTTGCTGGCCAGGAAAGTAGGGCTGAACTTGTCACTTGCTTGAAATGCCCTAAAAGGCGAGGAGCCTTCTGTGTCCTGGGAGGCTGCGTTGTAGTAGGAATCCATGGCAGCCGGATCACAATAAGAAACACAAGTATCAGCATTCATTCCTAAAATTAAAAGGCCCGAGTGTCCTTAATGCGCTTGGAGGGGCACCAGGAACCACTCTTTCCCTCTCCCTCTCGCATAGACACACACTCACAGCTGGGCCGGGGAGCTCTAAGAGGATTCAGATGTTCGTGAAAGCTGACCAGATCTCCAAACCCCCTTAAGTTCTCGCACAGTAAAAGGGGTCTTTTTCTTTCCCTCCCTCCCTTTCTCATACGCTTGCCCTCCGTGTCTCCCTCCAAACTACACTCTAAAGAGGCTCTTCTCTGCACTTTCCCCCCCACCACATAGGGAAAAAAAGAAAAAAAAGAAGAGAGAGAGGGAGACCTCTCCCCCAATTAATATGTAGATGATGACAGTGGAGGGGAGGGGGCCCAGGAAGGGGTGTGTGTGAGTGTGTGTATGTATGGGGGAGTGTGGAAGCAGAGGGAGGGTGGAGGTCATATCTTTTGCGTTAAAAAAAAAAAAAAMAMAAAAAAAAMMAAACMAAAAAAACCCCCCAAAATCGCACCAAAAAAAMMCAAACCAGCGCCGAWAGTTTCTATGATTAAAACCCAGAAAATCAAGCAGATGACATAAACGCCACGAACGGATGAGAGCGGGATCCGCGCCGGCAGAAGCGCCGGGGACGATTTAATGGTCGTGACACGCTCCGTTCACTCCGGCTCCCTCCGCT